TAGAAGTTAATACGTATTGCTCTAGGGCCCAGTGAGGTCACTCAATGTCAGGGGGGGAGTAATTACTCCCAGACATTACAAAAAGTACATGTCATTGTAGATTTAATAAACATTCCCTTGAATACTTCTTTATAACTATAACAGAATTCCGAAGGTTAGGTCAGGTTAGGGTTAGAGAAGTGTTCATAAATCCTAAAAAAAAACTAATAAATGTTATTTTGCAATTCTTACCATTTCTCCTAGGTGCTTTTGTCCCAGGGGCTTTGTCCAAGTGGCTTTTTTGGTCCCAGCTGTCCCAGTTTTGTCCAGCTTTTGTCCCAGGGGCTTTTTGTCCCAGGGGGCTTTTGGTCCCAGGCTTGTCCCAGGGCTTTTGTCCCAGGGGCTTTTGTCCCAGGGGCTTTTTGGTCCCAGGGCTTTGTTCCCAGAGGGCCCCCAGGCCCCAGGGGCTTTGTCCCAGGGGGCTTTTTGTCCCAGGGCGCCTGTCCCAGGGCCTTGTCCCAGGGGCCCTTGCCCCAGGGCTCTTGTCCAGGGAATTTGAACACAGGGGGCCTTGTCCCAGGGGGGCTTTTTGTCCCAGGGGGCCATCCCAGCTTTGTCCCAGGGGGCTTGTCCCAGGGGGCCTTTTTGGTCCAGGGAGCATTTTGTCCTAGGGGGCCAACTCAGGGCTTGTCCCAGGGGCTTTTATCCAGGGGGCTTCGTCCCAGGCTTTTGTCCCAGGGGCTTTTTGTCCCAGGGGCTCTTTGTCCCAGGGCTTGGTCCCAGGGGCCTCTTGGTCCTAGGGCTTTGGTCCCAGGGGCTTTGTCCCAGGGGCTTTGGTCCCAGGGGCTTTGTCCCAGGGGGCCCCTTTGGTCCAGGGCTGTCCCAGGGGCTTTGTCCTAGGGGCTTTTGTCCCAGGGGCTTTTTGTCCCAGGGCTTTTGTCCTAGGGGGCTTTGGCCCAGGGGGCTTTGTCCCTAGGGGGCTTGGTCCCAGGGGCTTTCGTGGTCCCAGGGGCTTTTGTCCCAGGGGCCTTTGTCCAGGGGCTTTGTTCCAGCTTTTGTCCCAGGGGCTTTTTGTCCTAGGGGGCTTTTTGTCCTAGGGGGCTTTTGGCCTAGGGGGCTTTTGTCCTAGGGGCTTTTTGTCCTAGGGGGCTTTGGTCCACACTGTGTGTGTGTTTGTCTGTGTGTGTGTGTTTGTCTGTGTGTGGCATGGTCTGTGTGTGTGTGTTTGTCTGTGTGTGTGTGTGTGTGTGTGTGTGTGTGTGTGTGTGTGTGTGTATGTGTTAAAACATCATTCATAGCGTTACTGTATATCACTACCTTGTTTATTTACCAGGTGAGCCAAGTTTTGTACCTGTAATTATCTTTCTGTTCACCTGGGATATATTACCTGTTTAGAGGTTGCGTTAGGAAATACATTATGGCAGGTTTGTTTTGCTAAGGTTAGTTTGAGGCATCACTACCACGTATATATACATACATACATACATACATACATACATACATACATTACACATGCATAAACACATACATAAATAGAGACAGACAGGCAACATCACAGGTAATGGTGTAGACTTAACACTATCACATTACACAACAAGAACACCTGCCTCTCCACCAATCAGATGCGCAACAGCCGAGCCTGAAAAAAAAAAATGAGACCGATACACCACTTAATAGCCGCCAACCAGGTCGTTAATTAGCCTTAGGTCAACAGCCATGTTGTTTCGGTAGTGTTGGTAGCTAGTCCATACCTTGAGTTTGTTATTGACGTCTGTGTATGATGATTCTGACGTATGTGATGATCATTCTGAATGTCTGTGCGATGATTCTGACGTCTGTGTATGATGATTCTGACGTATTGTGATGATCAATCTGACGTCTGTGTATGATGATTCTGACGTGTATGATGATTCTGACGTCTGTGTATGATGATTCTGACGTCCGTGCTGGTGATTCTGACGTCTGTGTATGATGATTCTGACGTCTGTGTATTATGATGCTAACGTCTTGTATGATGATTCTGACGTCTGTGTATGATGATTCTGACGTCTGTGTATGATGATTCTGACGTATGTGTACACACCCTGACGCCTGTGTATGATGATTCTGGATGCGTGTATGATGATTCTGACGTCTGCGTATGATGATTCTGACGTCTGAATGGTGATTCTGACGTCTGTGTATGATGATTCGGACGTCTGTGTATTATGATGCTGACGTCTGTGTATGATGATTCTGGACGCCCAGGCATGATTCTGGACTTCTTGTATGATGATTATGACGTCTGTATGATGAATCTACATTTGTGTATGATGAATCTGACGTGTGTATGATGATTCTGACGGCTGTGTATGATGATTCTGACGGCTGTGTATGATGACTCTGACGTCTGTGTATGATGATTATGACGTTCGTGTATGAAGATTCTGACGTCTTGTATGATGGTTCTGACGTCTGTGTATGATGATTCTGACGGCTGTATGATGATTCTGACGTCTGCATGATGATTCCACTGCTGTGACGATGATTCTGACGTCTGTGTATGATGGTTCTGACGTTCAGTATGATGATTCTGACGTCTGTGTATGATGATTCTGACGGCTGTGTGATGACTGACTGCTGTGTATGATGATTCTGACGTCTGTAAATGATGATCCTGACGTCTGTGTATGATGGTTCTGACGGCTGTGACGATGATTCTGACGTCTGTGTATGATGATTCTGACTGCTGGTGATGATTCTGATGGCGATGATTCTGATTTGCTGTGTATGATGATTCTGACCTGCTGTGTATGATGATTCCGACTACTGTATGATGATTCTGACTGCCGTGTACGATGATTCTGACGTCTGTGTATGATGATTCTGACGTCTGTGTATGATGATTCTGACGCCCGTATGATGATTCTGACGTCCTGTAAGATGATTCTGACGGCTGTGTTGATGATTCTGACGGCTGTGTATGATGATTTTATTGTCATGTATGATGACTCTAACCTATTAGTACCTTGAATTCACCGGTTGAGCACAATAACTTCAGTCCTCGAGTATAATGACGTTACCGTTTGATGTACTGTCTATATATATATTCAATTAAGATAACTAGAGACAGGTGAACCCAGGTGAGGTGAGGTGCGGGGGATACGACAGGTGCTTAACACACACACACACACACACACACACACACACACACACACACACACACACACACACACACACACACACATGACCACTGATCCCTGATGCTAATGCCTCTCTCTTCTTAGGTAGCACTGGAAAATCCACATGAGAAATAGAGAGAGAGACCCACAAAAGAGAGAAAAAGAACGAACGAAAGAGAATAAAAGAAATGAAAAGAGAGAGAGAGAGTCCGTGTGTGTGAAAAAGAAAGAAAGAAAGAAAGAAAGAAATAAAGAAAGAAAGAGGTAACAAAACAAGATAATGAGGAAAGGCAACTCTGTTTTGCTGAATACCGCAGGGTGATCATTCTCTGACATAAAACAAGACTTGACATATTAGGTAATGGAGTCTGGCTGAGTTAGTGATGAAAGCCTCGGCCTTTTCCCACACCTGGATCCTGCCAATACGATCTTGCTATTTACACGAATCCCAAATCTGACTTTATCTTACATCCATTGACTTATACCAAACTTCAGTCTAATACTCGCTAGTTTGGGTGTTATTTAACCCAACCTAACCTAACCTAACTTAACCCAACTTATCCTAACCTAACCTAACCTCAGTCTAGTTAATCCTAGTTTGGTGTTATTTAACCCAATCTAACCTAACCTAATCTAACTTCAGTCTAGTTAATCCCCAATTTGGGTATTAATTAACCCAAAGTATTCCTCACTTAACTTACTAACCTGTTTAGCCTGTAATTACGTAACTTAAACCCAACTAGCTCCCAACAATGTAATTTAACCCAACCTATTAAGGCCTAACGACGTAACTTACCTAACTGCTTAAGATATTATTTAACCAACCTAACTATACTTTAACCTAACTAATTATTAAGTTAATTAGATGTAATTTAGAGTGATTTAACCTTCATCATACTATTAGTAATTAATTATGCAACACCCATGATAATTAACCCTTTCTCCGTCTATAATTAATCTTCCTAAAAGTTTTAATATTTTCGATGCTTTTTTGTTTACGTCTGGAGTTACTTAATTACTAATACTTAAACATGTAATTTATGTTTTAAGTGGATGAATATGTTACTATGTCATTAGCACTACTAATTACCATGATGAATCTTTAACTTCTAGTCATTAATTTACTGCAATGAGTCTTAGTGAGACCTGAAGATTAGCCACCCCGATTATTTCACCTTAGGATTAAATGCCCCAACGCCACCTTCCGAGGAGCAGATTAGATTTGAAACAGGTTAGGGATGTCTAATCTTAAGGTGAAATAAACCCAGCTAATCTTCAGGTTTTACGTATAAACAAAACTCAAAATTATGACATAAAACTTGGTGTTCAATGATATTTTTGATACAGTGTTGCAGTAATAACATATAGACAGTTTTGCAAGCTACATGTTGCAATGGTGAACAGAACGTACTCTTAACTTGTCGTTGCAATGTATAAACGTTTTCCTAACTCCGATGTTGCAAATAAAATATTTAACGTTTTCCTGACTCCAACGTTGCAACAAAGGAGTGAATGTTTTCTCCACTACGGTGCTGGCAAAGCGTCAACAAAAGCGTCACCACACGATTCACTCATTGTCACAGCAACGTTGCCTGAGTGATTGATCGTAATTATGTTTATCTTATCACTTGAGTTGCCTCAGTCAGCTATGATGATTGATCTCTACCTTCAATGGCTGTATGTAAGTTTTGTGTCTGTCTATTGCGTGTTTAATGGTGGTGCAGTTATGACTATTGCGTGTACATACAGTATATATATATGTTTGTATTTTGAGTTTTGAGTTATGTGACTAAGGAACCTGTTTATATGTTTATGTATGTTTGTATATACTGTATGTGTGTCTGCGCTTCTTATATAAAAACAAACACTGCACCACTTAAAACACTAATTAAAACACCATCATAAAACCATAAACGATCTATCTTTAAATTCCTGTCTAAAGGACGCCATATTCGCTGAAGCCTTGATATTTACTGTTCAAACCTAGCTGAGAGAGACACAGGTGCCTGGTGACAGGTGTGTCTCTCTCATTATCGGCTGAGACACTGCACCGTGGCATTATGAGACACTGGCACTGGCACTCTCACAATGCCTACCAAACTAATCCAATTTAGTGCCAATCTGAACTCCCCCTCGAGTCCCCAGGCCTGGCGAGGTGTGTGTGTGTGTGTGTGTGTGTGTGTGTGTGTGTGTGTGTGTGTGTGTGTGTGTGTGTGTGTGTGTGTGTGTGAGAGAGAGAGAGAGATGGCCTCTGTCGAAGATTAATTTAAAACAACTTTTTGTCTCTTCCTCCCTTCCTCTCCTCCCCTCCTTCTTTTCCTCCCTCCCTACCTCCTTCACCCCCTTCCTCCTTCAACTCTCCTTCCTTCCTTCACCTTCCTCCTCCTCCTAAACCACCTCACATTACCACTGGGCCAGGTAAGGGCCCCACCTCACCACACTTTCTGCCACACCTGACCCAAACCTCAACTCACTTAACACTCTCAAGATGTGGCTTTATGTTCTAGCCATTTTGAGGACGATTTCAAGTTTAACTCAAATGAGGATGGTTTAACGTTTTACCTTTGTTTACCCTTGAGGACAATGGTTTAAGTTGTAACTATAAGAGGAAGGGTTATTTTTTTACCCTTGAGGACCGATGTTTAAAAGCTTTACCTTTTGAGGAAGGTTTAGTCTTACCTCTGAAACACAACGAATGATAATTAAAGCAAGTTTCAGAGCAAGTTTCAGAGGCAAATTTTCTAAGCAAGTTTCCTGCATTTTAAGCATTTTAGGTTAAG